GATATAAATAGAGTCCTTAATAAGACACCCAAATGTAATATTAAGGTTAGGATCCAACACAATATATTATAACTTAGAAGAGGGATGCCGTAATCTAAGCTATAACATATTCGAAGGTAGGTGAATGACGATTCACCAATTTCCACCATGAAAACAAAATGAATTATTAGGTTTAATTGGTTTCGAAATTCTTAGATTCTTTGGAGATTCATTGAACTTTTTTCAATGGCATGTTTCAATCTCGATTGTGCCCTTCAAGTTTTGTGACTGGGATGCCGAGGATCACAAAACAAGGTGTGAATAACCATGCAAATTCACTTGGTACCCTTAATATTATCACCTAATCAATGTGCCGATTAACCACACGCGCTCCACCGATCTATGATAAACATTAAGTCACCCTTCGTGATCCTTACTAGTCCAAGTTAGTGTGCCGGTTAACCACACACGCTCCACCAACGACTTGGTAAGGTACAAAGTGTGAATTTCATGGGTTAGCGCCATTTTCACATTTTCCTAAAGTAACTAAGATTGGGAATTTATAAAAACATTTAGTTACTTTATAATAATCATTTTACTTTTAATGAGAATTTAAAGTCATTGTCCTACCCCGTTCGGCTAACGACCCTCCACCGATCAAGGAAGCGGTGGGTGAGAATGGACACCCATTAAGCTGCCATTTTATAGGCAACAACCTTATACCCCCCCTTATAGACCGGCTTCGTGAATGAGGCCTACTAACGGTAAAACGACTTAATCTTATACATATATATAATTATTAACCATTAATGTTATAAATAGTATAAGAGTTGAATTTTAACTTTTAAAAAATCTAAGGGTTGGATTAGAGTATATTAAAGTGTGTGCAACTTTATAAATTCCAAAACTTGAGGACAAGTTTTGAAACTATTCAAAACTTTTCATTTCATAACTTATGAATTAAAGGTTCATAAAAATGAAGACTCTTCATTTTCATGTAACTTATGTGTTTTAAATGTGCATAAAAGAAAGTGACCTTTGGAAATCCATAACTTGAGGACAAATTATGGACTCCATTAAAACACATAAATGATCAAGAATTAATCAATAAACTATTTAGCAAATAATTCCTATGATCTAACAATAATTCATAAGAACATGAACATCATATTAAAATTTCAAGAACATATGAACACATATAAACATGGAATTTTGATATTAGCCATTGTAAATGGATTAGCACAAACATTACACCATCTAAACAAGTTTTAAAACACCAAAACAGTTTAGGGTAATGTTTCTAGTCCATTTCCAGCAGCAAAAGTCGAAAAACTGCACTCTGCCTAGCCAACTCGTCGAGTGCATGAACTGACTCGCCGAGTTGGTTGAAGTTTCGCTTGGACTCGTCGAGTCCCCCCATGGACTCGGTGAGTCCCCTGTGCAGACAACAAAAAACTTCGACTTTTTCAGCTATTTTGCATCAAGTATCAACAAACAAGCCTAGGCTTTGATACCACTGTTGGGTTTTGAGCATTCTAACACTCTTAAGGTATTCATGCAACCCTAGAAACCTTGGATCTATGTTTGACTAAAATACATGCAAAATAATTTTCCAAGGTTCATAACCTATCTAGCATGGCATGGGGTACTTTTAAACATAAAAGATACTAGAAGAGTTACATACCTTTAGTAGTGAGTTGATTCCTTGGGAGTTTGAGAGCCTACCACCAATAATGTGAATGCCTCAAATGAAAATCACAAAACACCACAAACTTGAAAAACTTTATGAGAGAGTACAATAGCTCTAGAAATCGGTCACTCTTATGCACACACACATAGTGTCATTTCAAGCACCACAAGCCTCTTTATATAGTGTAGATGATTAGGGTTATGAACCATGTAAACCCTAATAACCCATGTCTTTTCCTTTTTCAAGGATCCATGGGTTAAAAGCTCCATGGATCATCCATGGACTCCCATGCAAGCTTAGCCTATTACCAAATGAGTATTAGCCCACACTATATAAATATAATAGCTCATATTTAATTAGTCACCTTTTGATCACTAAATTAATTCATAATTAATTTAAGATCAATACTAATTAAATAATACGATTTCATATATTAATATATTATAACTTATAATATATTAATAAGTCATAAACATACTATTCTCATAATATTATCCATATAAACAATTCGGGTGAAGTGCAACCCAAATGGACCATGTCCGGTCGGGTCAAGTATATATCAAATAAGTTATGGACTTAGACACCTTATCCAACAGATTTTTAGCAGATCTGCAACCAGAGATTTATCTATGGGATTCAGTAGTATGAGGTGAGTTTCGTCACTATGTTTAGCAGTTCGAAGGCACCAATGTCGGACCATGGTTTATTATGTTAGGATGCTAGATGTCTGCGTGACTCTTGCATGTGTATGCGTTGGTATGTATGCCGAGCGGGGCTCGATGTCGGGCGAGGCCCGATGACTGTATTGTATGCTATTATCTTTGTGATTATCACATGTATTAGTAGGATTATAAGTTTATATGCTGGACGGGGCCCGTTACGCGAGTTAGGGCGAGGCCCGTTATACTCAGTGGGCGGGCCCGTTATGCGAGTTATGGAGAGGCCCGTTACACTCATTGGGTGGGGCCCGTTGATTGATATATATATATATATATATATATATATATATATATATATATATATATATATATATATATATATATATATATATATATATATATATATATATATATATGTATACTGGGTGGGGCTCGATACCGGGCGGGTCCGATGATGGGCGGGGCCCTCTTTGTGTGTTTGTTATGTATGGTATGGGGTATTTTGGGGAACTCACTAAACTTTGTGCTTATGACTTTTAGTTTATGTTTCAGGTACTTCTGGATCGAAATGGAAGAGCCCGAGATGATTGTAGATCACAAACCACATTTTTCCGCATTTTGAGATATACTCTGATATGAAATGATTTAGTGACATACTTTGGTCTTTTTGGGTTGTATGACAATGTTTTGGATTACTGTTTTTATAAAATTAAAAATAAAATTTTTGGGTCTTATTTTCGGGACGTTACAATGCCGGTAATACCTGTATTTCTTGTAGTGCAATTTACTCTGTGTAGATTGGCTGAATGCAGAAAACCTTCCACTGGATGACGATCATGATTTTCACGAAATAAATGAATTTAACAAATAGTTTGCAAAATCATAAAGACATTGGTTTAAAAGATTTGATATAAATACAATTTGCAAATTTAATGAATTTGGCAAATAATATGTGAAATCTATCTCCTAAAAAGCTATTTGGCTAATTATTTGAGACTATTTTGGTTAGGGATGTAATTTAACGAGTCTAGTCGAGCCGAGTAGTGCTAAACTTGAAGCTCGACACGCCTAAAATACTCGAGCTCGAAGCTCGACTTGAACTCATCTCGAGCTCGAAGCTTGACTTTTGACTTGAACTGGTCTCGAGCCTAAATTTGAAGCTCAGACTCAACTCGTGAAATACTTGATACTATTGAGCTCAGATTGCGAGATTTTTTCGGATTGTCCGAAGTTAAAAAAAAAAACTTAAAATCATCCAAAAAAACATTCCACATGCTTTTTTACATTGTTCAAAATAAGAAAAAAATTCACAATAAACCATTTAATATCAATATATTATCAACCATCTATGTCATTGTTTTACATATATATCCAAAATACCAAAAAAAAACATTGTGAAAAGGTTTGAAATGCAACTTAAATCCTTATTTTTTAACGGACGCTTAAAGCTAAAAGTGTTTAAATGTTTTAGTAATTAAGAAATATATAAAGGGTAAAATGTAATTTTATAAATACTCGATTAAGCTTGTGAGCTTTATGAGCCCAATATTTTACTACTCGAGCTCGGCTGGATAAGGTACTCTTGAGTAGCTTGAGCTCAAGCTCGACTCAATTAAAGTCGAGTCGATTTCAAGTATTTTCCAAATCGGGCTTGAGAATATTGTGAGTTGTCTCGACTCCTTTACACCTTAGATATTGGTTAACTTTGCCGACATTTTAATTGTAGTAGAAGTTGAAAAATGTGGTCATATTGTTTTAGCATATTAGGTTTTTTTTTGAACGACAAATTTAATATACTATTAAATTATTTATAAATTCACCTATGTATGTCACAGACGAAACTTTAAACCATCGACCTCAACAAGGGAATGGAACACCTGATATTGCTGAATTGGAATTCTATATAAATTTAACGAATTGTTATGTACTTGTTCTATTTTTTTATACAATTTTACCATTTATTGTTTACAATGTATTAAACTTTACAAAGCAATGTATTAAACTTTACAAAGTTAAATCTATTTAAATCTATTGAACCTATTAAATGCCAACTTGACATTCCATTATAAGAGTTCAATCGTTCTTAGAGTTTATTCAATCATTCTATTAAAACATTAATTATGGATGCTATGTAGATTTTAGGAATTCTGCATGGATGTTTTGTCTTGGTTTACTAAATGAAAATGCTTTCATGTATATGCCTACTTGCTGTGGGTGATAAGCACATACATATGTTTCTGAGTTGTCGCTATGTATCAGAATATATGAGGTAATTTCTTGGTTATCATGTGGAAATTGTGTTCACATAATATCATATCCGGAGTACTTTTCTTCTGCCAACTGGCTACAAGCATATATTCTGAAGATATCCACCGCAGCCTCAGTGAAAAATTACATCTAGCATTTATATTTTCCATTTTCTTCTTTTAGATTGGTTGGAATTCTATCTTGAAAACCAGTAAAGAATCCAACTTTATTGCTCACTTTTTCTTAAATGTGCTTTTCGTTTTATGATTCTAGTTTGGTAGGTGGTTTCAGACTGTATATAACTGGTGTAGAACTAGCTGATTCAGATAAATCTGTTGGTAACCCATTTTCGTAATTTTCCCACCACCTGACAGTTGTTATAAATAGACACAAACAGCCCTTCGATCGTTTCAATTATCATTTACTGCAATAACAAAGGATTGAACACTATGAGCTCTAATCGTGGTTCCGGTCAGTCTTTTTTCTTTTTGCCCCTCTTTAACTGATCAACTGTCGATAACAACAAATTCACTTTTTCTTTTTTGCAAAACCGTTGTTTTTCAAACTCCCGCTATGACTACTTCTATAACTATGGATTTAGGGCTTAGAGTAATCCTACCATTGTTTTTAATGCTTAAATTATTGTTTCATTTAGATGATATATCTTGCATGGTTTGTAAAGATTTAATGGTTTAATAGCATTCTCCATATGTGCGTTTTTTTTTCTCAGGTAGTCGCAATCTTAGAAGAAACGCGTTGGAGTTCGGGAGGACTTTTGTGGTGATGCCCAAAGGAACTCACCAAGCAACTATTGTTTGGTTGCATGGCATTGGCGAAAAGGGTTCAAGGTGACTATGCATCTTTGGTCATATTAACTTTTAAGAACAATCAGTGGGCTCTACTCTTTTGGGAATAGAATATTGTGATATGACGATACATATATTCTTTTTTGGTTAAATTATCATGTTTTGTTCTATATATGGACTATGCATCGATGACCAATCTTCACAGTCAATTTTTGGAGTTTTCTAATCGAGTTTTCACTTTGAAAGAAAAGCATATGCTTGACGTTCTGAATTGACTTGAAGTTAAAGTTATTTTTATTTATCGAAATGGGGTGTTCCAAAAACAAATTGTGTTATTTCATTTGCTTATATAAAATGCATTAGAACATAAACATCTTGAATTAAAATAAAACATCTAGAAGTTTTTTGTCAATTTTGAATACGAAAAGTGTCTTATGCTCGAATCTTGACTGTCTATTTGAGATTGAGGTGGTCCTTAAATAAGCAAAGTAAGCAACTTGCTAGACCAATTCTATGATATCGAATAAAAGCAACTACAACATATGCAAAATGACTATGCATGTGTTTAACACGAATGGCGTCCGCACTCCACGTCCCATCACACATGCGACAATAAGAATTTATGGGTTCAGATTCCATTTCCTTTTGCCAATTTAGTAAAGAAAAATAGTAATGATGTTTGTCGTTCTTGCTTTACAGTTGGACTCAAATCTTGGAAACTCTGCCACTTCCCAATGTAACGATTTGAAATTTTCATTCATTTCTCAAGCAAATTCACTCATAACTTTCGTTATATATAACTATTGCGTAATTTGATTTATGATGTAGATCAAATGGATCTGCCCGAGTGCACCAACTCGTCAAGTAACTCTATTTGGTGGATACCCTTGCACTGCTTGTATGTTCTGTCTTTCTGAAATCCTTTAGTATTTAAAGGTTATGGAATAAATGATCATGCTTTTATGACATTCATGTTGATCTTATCAGGGTTTAATATGGAAAGCATGTCGGAAGATGCGTGTGATGATTTGGAGGGCTTAGATGCTTCTGCAACACATGTTGCAAATCTCTTGATTAGTGAGCCTGATGATGGTATGAAGGCAAACATAATTCTTAATAACCCTGATATATCACACTTAAATTACAACATTTTACTTTTCAAAATATTTTCAAGTTGCTACAATCACATAATTGTCTTGTTTTAACCGTTACAAAAACTGAAAATCATGAGAATTGTGTGAAATTATATATATATATATATATATATATATATATATATATATATATATATATATATATATATATATATATATATATATATATCAAAAGTATGTTCCCCTTTCTTTAAATGGAAAGATTCATATACCATGTTTCCATAACAATTGAAAATTGAAAGTGATGTTCTTTATGCGACTATTGAAAATGGACCAAAGTGGGGCCATTAGAATTTAACGTTTTTAACTTCTTATAAAAATAAGAAATTTGCATGGTTATAAGTACTACCTTTTTTTATTGTATCAAATACATCTAAAAATACTCCATTTGAATGGAAAAAACCAAACCTTCTTCCTTACAATTTATATTTTCCTTTTACAGTTAAACTAGGGGTTGCAGGCTTCAGTATGGGTGCAGCTGTCGCTCTCTACTCTGCAACATGTCGAGCTCTTGGACAATATGGGAATGGAAACCGATACCCCATCAACCTTAGTGTTGCTGTGGCTCTTAGTGGCTGGCTCCCATGTTCCAGGTTTTACATATGTTTTTTGCAACTTACTATGCTCACCTAACATTTTTAGCTTTATTTTGCTAGTCCGTATTATCATATCGTTAGATTTGCTTAGTAATTTTTTTTTCTAGGAACTTAAGGAACAGAGTGGGAGTATCACAAGAAGCTTTAAGGCGCGCATCATCACTACCTATTTTGCTTTGTCATGGAAAAGGTATTTGCTTATAACTCAACTTCTTGTCACCAAATAAAGCCTGCTCCCGTATTATTGTAATCCAGTAGGGGAAAAGAAAGTTACACTGGTGCATCATGGTGATCAAGGTCACCCTTTCTTTTACTATACAAATCATGTTATGTCATGTTTTCTTACTTTGAGTGTTCCTATATTAAGGTTCCATTGTTTCGCGTGACTTTTCATGCACAAGATAACACGGACTGTATATGAAATATAACTTTGAGTGGAACTAAAACTCATGTCAATGGACGTATCTTCCACCTAAAAAGGGGAAACAAAGTTAAATAGGGATTTGCGATGTGAATGCCCTTTTGATCTTCATCATGAAGAATAATCCTAGAAAACTTATCATGTCCAATCCAATAGTTTAATACAATCTAGTCCCTCAAGTTTTGTCCCAAATAACAAATGCAACCATATAGTATATACGTAAGTAAGATATCAATCTTTGACCAATCCACAACATGATTTGTGTTTTTACAAACATCCCACCCCACGTACATATCTATATATATCCATGGGCATATATGTACACTTTTTTTTTTTAACAGCAAGACTTTATTAAAAAACAGTTAGAAGATGGAATTACAAGCTACAATAGATAGGGTTATCAACCCATGAGTCCCAAGACAAAGATCTCCCCCACTTAGCTCTATTTTTAAGCCACAAAAACCCTAAAGCTTTGACATCAAAAGCAAGAAGAGAAGGGTTTTTCACTTTGCTATTAAAGATCAAACCGTTCCTGTACGTCCAAATAACCCATAAGAAGGCCCTAGAGATCACATCCATGATATCTTTCTTTCTGTTGCCTTTTTTGTTGATTGAGTTTACTCCAATGAGGTTGTCCAAAGAGTCATTTTCATTGAAAGCATCCTTCCACCACAAGCGTAGAAGTGCTCCTAACTCCCTAGTGGTTGAACAATCTTTAAATATATGATCTTCATTCTCCTCAAACGCATTACACATCGGGCATAACGTACTTGGAATACCCACCCCCCTCCGAGCAAGGTTAGCTCTCGTCGGTAATCTACCAAGTCTAGCACGCCATATGAAAATGTTGATTTTCCCTGGAACAATGTTAGTCCAAACCGTAGGCGTATTGGTAGACTCCAAGAAGCTTTTGTCAATTTCTTTCCTAAGGGAAGATACAGTGAAATCGCCACTAGCATCAAGATACAGGGAAGATACACCTATTTCTTGAAAAACGAAAATGTATCTATTATAGTTTAGATGTCGGAATGTACATCTTCTCATGGATGCTGAAGCGTAACAATTATCTTTTTGTCTATAGGATGATATATGTAGTTGACATGTATCCTTGTTTTGCTGAAATTATAAAAAGATAAAGCAATTGCATATAGTTCAGTAGTTCATGTATATGGTCATTGTTTCAGTTGATGATGTGGTAGAGTACAAACTTGGAGAGAAATCAGCACAAACCATGTATTCTGCTGGATTTCAGAGCGTAACATTTCGAACATATAATGGGTAATTCTTGTTCTTTGATTATCTTGAGGACTTTTTCTTAAATTTATACTTATTAATTAATTTTATTTTTCATTCAGGCTTGGTCATTACACAATCATGGAAGAGATCAATGACGTTTGCAGTTGGCTCATTGCATGCTTAGGGGCGTGATTAATATCTTTCCGTTTTCTCCATTGTGGATTTATGGGCATTTCGGGGTTGGGGTTGGGGTATAATAGATAGCATATAATTAACTATATATGTAGCATAAGAGCAAGTTTATTGTATTAAAACTCAATAAAGTTGATATCTTTGCAAGCATTTGCAAAGATTTATCAACTTTCTAAGTTGGAATATTTGTCTTTTTTACATTTTAAGATATTGAAAAGAAGTGAAGGTGACATTAATTTATATATATTTTTCTCTATTATATATTATAGACAAAATTACACTAATCGTAATTGCCTCAACGGACAGTTTGTGTCAAAAGTTGACCGTTAATATATCCTTACATGTCCTACATGTGAGGGTATTTGTGTCAATATATATTTTGTACCAATTCAAATAATTGAATAGATGTATTTGTAAATACATTCCTTTTCTCATGCCTCATTATACTATATTTTGGCATTAATTACCATACAAATTGTGCAAGAGAAGAAAATGGTGTTTTATACTTGTGGCCGACCTGTAATGGTACTAAAGTCATGGCCGACAACCAACCATAGATGGTGGTTTTGGTCTTGTTCAAAACCAAAGTCGAGATGCCCATTCATAGGTTAGATCAACTCACCCATGTGCCTTAGATCCATGGTAATAATGTCAGGTTTGTTAAGGTCACTAAATCAGGATCAAGTCATAGTTGAAGAAGCAAAAGTAGAAAAAGAAGTGTCATGTGATGTTTGGTAGTTGGTACATTTTCATCTTTCTTTATTTCAATATGAACCAAATGTATTAGAATAAGATGTTTTTTACAACGCGTCAAAGTTCACCTGTAATGTTGTTGTTTGTTAGTTGTTTTTGAAGAAACATATTAATGTATTATGGTAGACTTTTTGAGGGAAATCAATGGAAATTAGTTGTTAAGTTTGTTTTCATTGTTATGGTATGATGCTAAAGCTTATAAAGCCAACAAAATTGTGTCAAAAATTTTGACCAACTGATATTATCGAAAATGGGAGAAGCCTTTTACATCACTTAAAATGTTACCAAATTAAGCAATGTACTTTACAGACAAGGTTACCTAAATTACGAGCATACTTTAAAGACAAGTTTATGGACAAACATAAGAACTAAAGTATTCTTATATGATCGTGGAATTTACATGTCGTGGGATACAATCACCATACACCCTATTAAATACATGGATAATAAATTGCTACTAATTTCAAAAAAGGATTATTAAAAAACCAAACAAAGAAGGGAACTAACTGTCCAACATCCTTCCACTATTACCCTGATTTACCCCTACATAAGAAATCAAACTAATCCAACATTATTAGCTCATCACCCTTATCTATACCTACACAACAAACCATAATAATATAACTTAACTGGATTTGTCATGATGAACCATTACCATATTTAACAATAACACATTTCTTTAAATTTTTAATGATCCTCTCGGAAGGCCCCCTCTTCCTGGACATGGTATTCCTAATCCATCCACTTTCATCATCAACATCATTCCTATCTTTATGTCCAACATGAAGTCCTTCATCCATGGCATCAACCACCTCTTCATAGAATCCCGGTGTGGTATTTGGTGTTTATATCCAATAAGATCATGTTTTAAACGAAGTAAGTGAAATTGATTTTGTAAATTATAGGAGTTTAATTTAATTAATAAGAGAAAATGCATATGTTTCATTTCAACATGTGGCATGTTGATAAGTAAAATATGTATCCATATATCCCTTTATATATACTCCAAACTATAACTAGATTATAGTTGCATAGATACACCAAAATGATCTATGTATACATTATTCGATATAATATCAGCGTCACCTCCCTCATAACAACATGTCAGGCCAATAAATGACTCATCAATATAATATTCCATATCACATTCCTTATCTTTGTCATCAAAAACTCCCTCATCACCTCCTTCATGAACCCAACTAGGGGTGTAAACGAGCCGAGCCGAGCCCAAGCCTGACCAAGCTCGAGCTCGGCTCATTTAATTTTGAGGAAGCTCGTGCTCGATTCGATTCGAGCCTTAAAATGAAGCTCGAGCTCGGCTCGTGAACAATTTAGTGGGCTCGCGAGCCTAATCGAGCCTAAACGAACCTCTATGTATAAGTGTGTGTGTGTGTGTGTGTGTGTGTATATATATATATATATATATATATATATATATATATATATATGTGTGTGTGTGTGTGTGTGTGCGTGTATGTATGTATGTATGTATGTATATATATATATATATATATATATATATATATATATATATATATATATATATATATATATATATATATATATGCTCGTTTAAGCTCGTTTAGGCTCGCGAGCCCACTAATTGAAGCTCGACTCGAGCTCGTTTAATAAACGAGCTTCATATTTAGGCTCGAGCTCGGCTCAGGCTCATTTAATTCGATCTCGAGTCGAGCTTTTAACGAGTCGATCCCGAGTAGCTCACGAGTAGCTCGGCTCACTTACACCCCTAAGCCCAACCTTGATGCATCAAAACTTCATGTCGAACAACAAAAACATACAATCAACCTTTATGTCCTACATCAACCTTATATACAAAACCTTCATGTCCCAAAACTTTATACAAAATGCCATTAGATGTCAAGACCATATATTTAAATATAGCAACATGTGTCAACATAAATACATAAAAAGTATAGTTAATTACTTATGTTATCCAAATTTGAAAATGGGTCAATAAAATCGATATTATTACTATTGTCCTCAAATGGCTCATGAACTATCATACATGTATTACATACCATTATCTTTATATGTTCTTTATCACCACATTTCAAGGGAATATTAAATAAATACCTATATTTGTTTGCTCTTCTTTAAGTATCCCACTATATCCAATATAAACACATATTTCTTTGTTCCTCTTTAAGTATTGTGATAATCTAATTACACCTAGGTCATTCCCTAGTGCTAAAAGACTATAATCTAGATTTGAATAAGGAATTAGAAAGTAACAAAAGATGATTTTATTAGTGTATAAGTTAGCATACCCAAGTTGACCTAATTCCATCAACATAGGTTCTAACTTATGAGTTGAAAACATATCGATGTTAACATTAATCGACAAAGCTTATCTTACCATCAACGTATCTACAACCTGGATATTTGGAGAAGAACCCATTATGACGAACATATATGTTGAACAGTTATCCATTACCCAAAGAGAAATCATTAAATTTTATATTGGAATGGTTACGATCAAATTGATCAAATGGAATATATCTTACTGTATTCCTGCGAAGGTCTTACCATAAGGACTACAGTGGTCAAGATATGCATATCGTTTGTAACATCCCAAAAATCATAACCAAAAATTTCGTTTTAAATTACTAAATAAACCATTGTTAACAATTCATCACATGAAATCATAAATCATTGTATCTCAAAACAACATAAACATCTGTCAAATATATTAGAGTAAAATCATCCCAGGCTAAACAAATGGTGTGTGCACTGTAGTCATCCCGAGCTCTTCCCCTTGCTACCGGAAGTACCTGAAACCAAAACTGAAAACTGTAAGCACGAAGCTTAGAGAGTCTCCCCAAACTACCACATACCATACACATAATCATGCTACTAAGAGATACGAGCCCCGCCCACACTCGGCTAACTAGGAGATACGGGCCCTGCCCACACTCTGCTGACTATGAGATACGGGCCCCGCCCACACTCAGCTAACTACGAGATACGGGCCCCGCCCACACTCGGATAACTACGAGATATGGGCCCCACCCACACTCGGCTAACTATGAGATACGGGCCCCTTCCATACTCAGCTACTAAATATACATACAAGTATCACACAGAAAACAAGTATAGCCAAATATATCAATCAATCCTATATACATACTTAAATAATGTTATGAGATATGGGGCCCGCCCACACTCAGCTATCTATGAGATACGAGCCTCGTCCACACTCTATGAGATACGGGCCCCACCCACACTCAGCTAATGATGAGATACGGGCCTCGCCCACACTCACATTCCTAACAACACATACATGTATCACACAGACAACAAGTATAGCAATCCAACAATCTGACTAATATCTATACTAAGGTAATAATGAGATACGGGCCCTGCCCACACTCTGTGTTCCTATCAAGAACATATAAACTACACGGGTCGGCATTGGTGCCTTCGACTCGTTCAAACCAGGAGGAAACTCACCTCGCACTGTTGAAGTCCCACGAATAAATCTCTGGCTGCTGGCTGACAAATCCCTGAACTGTCAATCGTCAAAACAAAACCCAATTAACCATTTGGGTTTCAATGCATAATCATAAATACACACTTGGGGTAAAAGGACCATTTACCCCTAACATAGCTTGGTCCAAGACTAAGGCCCAACTCATACTTTGAAGGCCCAAAAGTCAAATAATCAACCAAGGCCCAACTATGGCCTAACTTTCCAAATTAGGCCCAAACCCCTTACATGGCCTTACCCTAAAGCCCATAAAATTAATCTAGTCCATACGCTTATTCTCAGATGGCCCATCAAGAGTCCAAACATCTAAGCCCAACTTGAAGCCCACACATAATTAGGGTTTTCACATGAAATGACAATCAGGGTTAAGTGTTCTTACTTATCCCATTAAGAACTTAATCCATTAAGTCCATCACTCCACTAGACCAATCATACAATATGGTCAGGTGTAATTCAAAATTCCCAATCCAATGGTCCAATCGTGGGTCCCGGCAAATCCCAAATAATGGTTTCCAAGATTAGGGTTTTCTAAACCCTAATTAGGGTTTCCAACCTAATCACAAGCCAACTAAGTCCAAGATTAAGCTATTGGACCGATTAGGGTTTCACTATGTCGAGCACCACCCACTGCCACCTCGGGCAGTGGTGGTCGATGGCGGCAAGCGGCGGCAGCCACCATTTCCAATGGATGTGGATTATAATTTTGACCCAAACTTCATAAAAACAACCCGGAACACAG